AGGTGGAATGGGAGATACTTTGCAGACCGTGCGGATTCATTCCATCAGTCGATAATGCCAAGCGAAGGTTTCTAGCTTCTTCTCCAAAATCAGGATAATCATTATCAATTTTCATCCACTGTGGTGAATCTGCCGGATGTCGATACTTCCCATCTATAATTCTATCATCTGCATGCCAAGTAAGGTGTTTCGCATCTGTTTCACTACGAAACATGCGTCTGAATCTCGGAATTATAGGAAAATACCATAAGACTTTTGCTGGTGACAACTTTTTCTTATACCGAGATACACCGCATTTAGGACACTCGTTTAATGATGCATACTCATTTCGAAACAAAATGCAATCATTTGGACAAGCATGTATCTTATCATAGCTCATACCAATAGAGCATAACATTTTTTTAGCTTCATAGGTTCGATTGGGAAGAACATTATCCTCCGGAGCATCTCTTGAAGTAGGGCTAACAACTCTGTGAAACTTTTATCCGACCATCCATTACCCGCCTTTAAGTTGTACAACTTTAATACCGCAGACAATCTTGTGAAAGTAGTGCAACCTTTATACAACGGCTTCTCTGCATCGCTTACCAACCTCTCAAACATCTTTGGACAATCTTGAAGATCTTCTTCAAGTGCTTCTGCAATATCTTCGACTCGATCACAATCGTATGTATCCCTACCATTGTCCTTTGAAGTAGAGGTCGTATTGTTCTGGGGTTCAACATTCTCGTTACTTATCTCACCGTGTAATGTCCAACATGTGTAACTTCGATCAATTCCATGTCTCATTAAATGAGATTCCAACCGAACCGCGTCAATTCGACGCCCATAACAGCAACCTAAGCAAGGACATGTGATCCTACTGGGGTCTTTGGCGTGTTCAACAGTAAACTTAACGAAGTTCGATACCCCATTCTCGTACTCTTTTGACAATCGATTAACAGACATCCAATTTTTATCCATAATAATTGAGTAGTCTAAGCAAAAACAGATAATACCTGTAAAGAAATCACTAACTTCTAAGAAAGCTATACAGTAGGATGCTTGGAAACGATCACAACCTTGCTCTTCACAGGTAACCCCTATAATAGACAAAATATAAATTTTATTAAAATCATATTAATAATTTACAAAACAAAAATACTAGATAATCCACCAAAATATATCATATTAAAAATACTAGATAATCCATCAACATATAAAACCATATCAACATATAAAACCATAACAACATATATATATATATATATATATATATATATATATATATATATATATATATATATATATATATATATATATATATATATATATATATATATATATATATATATATATATATATATATATATATATATATATATATATATATATATATATATATATATATATATATATATATATATATATATATATATATATATATATATATATATATATATATATATATATAACATGAAGCACATTCCTTCTCTCTACAAACAGATTGTTTCAATTTTAATACCAAAAGTTTCATCAACAAAAATATTTTCCAATAAATCTATCATATATTTTCCAATAAAGCGACATCAAATATTTTCCAATAAATCTATCATATATCATATATCAAGGTTCAAAGAAATATATAACAATGGTGAAAAGATCAATAAAAAAGAAAACCATAGTAAAACTACACATACCGTAACAATGTTGGAAATGCAATGGACGGAGGCACTCGAAAACAGACGGTGAACGGAAGACGGCGACGGCAACGGTCGGAGGGAGGGCGACGGCAACGGAATGGTTCTGGAGGGTATATAGGGCAAAGTTCGTTCGCTAGAGCAGAGGAGAAAGAAAGAAAAAAAGAAACTCGCGACTTCTGTTTCTCTTAAAATTCTGGAGGGTATATAAAAATTATTATACTAATACCTTTAGCAGCGCTTTTTAAAGGCCTTTAGCAGCGCTTTAAAAAACGCTTTCATAGGGTGCCTTAGCAATTACATACAGCAGCGCTTTATAGAAAAAGCGCTCTCGTAGGGTCCCCCTTTAGCAGCGCTTTTAAAAAGCGCTTTCAAATGGTCCTCCTTTAGCAGCGCTTTTTAAAAGCGCTTTCTTAGAGTCCCCTTTTAGCAGCGCTTTTTAAAAAGCGCTGTCTTAGGCTCCCCCTTTAGCAGCGCTTTTTTAAAAGCGCTGTCTTTGGTATGTAATTTTTTTCTTTTTTTTTTACTGACTATTTAGCAGCGCTTTGTTATAAAGCGCTGTCTTTTTATGCGCTGCTAAAAGTCAATTCTGGCGTAGTGCAGCCCGTGATCCCCTTCTGATCAGGTCAGATCAATAATGATCCCTTACCATATTAGCACAATGAGAGCATTTTGTGAGCTTCAAAATCCCAATTTTAATAGCATCATGAAATATGGGATTTAATGCTTTAGTGTTGAGCATCAGTACTAGTGATATTTGAATCCGTGCACTATATATAAAGGGTTTTGAAGAGAGAAAAGGGAAATTAGCATGTGTTATAACGTGTTATGTTAAGTGACAATAAATAAGTTACAAAGCTACTAAATCCACAATTAACGTGACAAGATTCTGAAACTCATGGTTCATGCGTAAGCTTACTTCAATACCATACCTGTTAGTATGCTCAAATGAAATATTAGCATTTGATTAAGAATAGATGTTATGTGAAATAACATCTCGAGATGTTGTGTCCATTCTTACAATACCTTCCATTGAAAGATGTCCTGTGCTCACTTAGGACCTTGGTTCTGCTTCAAATATTCACACAAACTCACAATCCTCAATATATTCATGCACCTGCCTTGTAACTGTTGTGATTTGTCCTTGTTACATACTTGACATTCATATCTTTCTGCATCCATTTTTGACACTCAATTTCAACAATAACTTAAATAATTAACGTTCTTATATTATAGATGTTATAAATTTTATTATGTTCATTAATTTGATGGTTACAAAATTTATCAAATAATTAATTTTCCTATAATATAATTCGCAATTTTGTTTGCAAATTCAAAATTAATTTACCATAATTATGATGTTTACCGATGAAAATATATTTTAAAATAATTTTTATCCTACTCGTATTTATTCTTTTTGGTCGGTCGGCTCTGATATGTAGCACTGGTAGCTAGGATTGTATAGAATTCTTTTGTGATACATTTGTATATGTATCTGCTAATAAATATTTATGAAAACATGTTGAATGATGATGTGAATCAAACTGGTTGATATATATATATATATATATATATATATATATATATATATATATATATATATATATATATATATATATATATATATATATATATATATATATATATATATATATATATATATATATATATATATTGATAAATATGTTTTGATGTTATTCAATGCTTAGATTTCCGCTTTTATTCTAAATGTTGAGATGTGGGTATAAGGACTAAAGAGCATCTCCAACCGTGAACTCATTTTTGGGTTCTTTGTGGGACCTATTAAGCCACGTCAGCTTGAAGCAACTCAACTAATTTTTCACTCAAATGGTGCAATTCTGAAGAACTCATATTGGGTCCCACAAGTTTACTTTATATGTTAATATTTTATTCATATTAAATTTTATATCACTTAAAATAATAATTTTAATTTTTTTACAGAAAATTATTTCAATCTACTATATAGTCCAACCGGTATATAGTGTTGTTTTAAGGAAAAATATTTCATTCTACTATATAAACTTAAAAAAAATTAGATTAAATTTAAAAAAATATTTCAATCTCTCCTTAGTTAATTTTAGTGTTTTAAATTAAATTTGATATAAAATATAAAAAAATTAAAATTAAAAATTAAAATAAATAAAAATAAAATAAATAAAATTCAAATTAAACTTATAATTTAAACTTATAATTAAAATATCGTTTCCATATTATAAAATCAATATTTTAATATTGTAATTATAATTTTCATATGATAAATAAAATTTTATATTAAATTATAATTTTTATATTATAAAATTAATATTTTAATATAAGAACAGTTGAAGAACCGTTGCTTAATTAAGCACCGTTCAACAACATGGCAATCTTGGAAACAACAAATATGAGTGCCATGTTGGCAAACTCACTCTAAGAACTCCCATTGGAGTTGGTCTTCTGTTGAAGTTACCCCATTGTTGCATATCTTTAAATGAACATTAAATTATTGTCTTTGATAAAAAAATATTTTTAAATTAATTTATTAATTAATTTTTAATATTAAATAGTTAAAAAAAAATAGTAGTTAAAAATTTGTTGCGATAATTTTTTAAAAAAATTTAAGTTATTTTTTTGATTTTTTAAAATAAATTTATAGTCCAAACAATAGATAAATTGTTGAAGTTATGCACCAAAAAAGTTTTTAATAAATAATAGATTAAAGACTAAATTATAGTTTTTGTCCATAAATTTTAACTGATTCACGAAATTTGTCCCCTATTTTAAATTCAAACAGTTTTTGTCCCTTATTTTAGATTTAAATAATTTTAGTCTCTTCTCACATTTTTTCTTAGAAAATCGATGAGATATTTATTTTTTTAACTTATATTTTTATCTATAAAATTCAACAATATATTTATATATGGTGATTTGTCATGTTCCAGAAGTAATTTGTCATTAAAAAAATAAAAACATCGTTAATTTTAAATGCGAAAGAATGAGAGGAAGTCCAAAACTATTTAAATTTAAAATAGGAGAACAAAACTATTTAGATTTAAAATAGGAAAACCAATTTGGTCCCTGAGATAAAATATGAGAATCCAAACAGTAATTAAACCTAAATTATATAATTAAAATTATACACTAATAAATAAAATATATTTTAGTTTTAACATGAGTATGGTATTATATTATTTCTTCCGTTTTAAAATGACTGTCGTTTTAAAAGAATTTTTTTTTTTTGAATCAAAATTTCATTAATCCAAAGACAGAAGTAATACAAGGCGATCAAAATCCAGCCTATACCATGAAACTACATAAAACTTATTGTACCATCAAAAAAGCTATATGTGGTATAAGCTTAGGGCTCGACCACCCTCTATAGACAATGTTGTTAATGATTCTATCTGTACAATTTCTATTGTCATTTCTTTGATTAAAACAAGTGTCATTTTTAAATCTCCACAACTCATGTAAAGTTTCAGTCAGAGCTAATCTAACAAGATCAACTTTCCAACCTTTACCACCATAACAATTCAAAATCCAGTTTCTCTCCTCATTCCAATTCCCGGGATTGTGAGGGATACCAATCCAAAGAAGTGTTTCTACCCAAGCCTTCCTCAAAGTAGCACACTCAAAAAATAGGTGGTCAATGGTTTCCACCGCGGAGCAAAAAACACATTGGTCATTATTCACCATACCAAACCGATTCAATCTGGCCTTTGTGGCTAGCTTCCCATGACAGATCATCCAGAGAGTATATATTGCACGAGGTCTTGCTCTATTGTGGAGAATTAGCTTGGCCCAAACAACATTAGGTGTGGCCGGTAACAAGTTCGCATACACTCTTCTACCAATGAATCTCCCTGCTTGCACCATCTCATTCCAAACCATCTGCATATTGCCTATGTTTTCCCTCTGCAAAAGAATAGTTTTAAAAATATTTGAATCAGAATTTTTAACCATTCTATACATTACATCCTCATTCTTCAGGTAATAGGCGTGAATCCACCGAACCCATAGATCATCCGTTTTCCTGCATATATTCCAGAGTAACTTCATCATAAACATGTTATTCCATACCACTAAATCAAGCACATTCAACCCTCCTTTCACAGCAGGTTTACAAACCTTATCCCAAGCAATCAGACTCTTCCTACTTATGGTGCTACCTCCTGTCCAGAGAAAGGATCTACAGATGGAATTGATTTTGCTAATCACAGTTTTAGGGAAACAAACACACTGCATCCAATATGAGGTAATAGCATATAGCACAGTCTTAATCAACTATAATCTACCGGCATAGCTAAGAAGTCGAGAGCTCCAATGAGTAATCTTACTCAATAGTTTATCCACCAACGGCATATAATGAATCACAGACAGCTTTTTGCTACTCACTGGGACTCCAAGATATCTAAATGGGAGAGTCCCCTCATCGTAAGCAGTAGAACTCAGAATTGAGTACTTAACAGGATCTGAAACACTACCAAAATACACTTTACTCTTGGCAGGGTTAATCTTCATACCTGTTGAATCCAAAAAGCTAGTGATGGTACGCTGCAGAATCTCCATGGAACCTTTATCACCTCTAGAGAACAGTAGGAGATCATCAGCAAATGTAAGATGGTGTGAGCTGCAGCTTTTCACATCTGGCATGGTGATTGAAATCCGGATTTCTTTGCATTCTAAATAGCAACCTGCTAAGGTACTCCATAATAATCACAAACAGGAGGGGGGACAATGGATCCCCTTGTCTAATACCCCTTCTTGCTTCTACCTTGTCAGTGTAATTGCCATTTATATTGAATCTATAAGAGACCGTGGTAACAGCAGTCATGATCCAATCAACAAACCTCTGTGGCATCCCTATCTCATTGAGGATATTTCCAAGAGCACCCCAATCCACCATGTCATATGCTTTTTGAATATCAAGCTGGACCATGCATATGGGCGTGCAATTTTTCCTATTGTAACCTTTTAATAATTCCTTTGCCAATAAAATATGAGATTGAATATTCTGACCATGGTACAAATGCTGCCTGAGCTTTGCTGATTATAGACCCCAAAACTCTACCAAGTCGCGCAGTGAGGATCTTGGATATGATTTTATAAACAGTTGTGCACCCTGCAATAGGCCTATACTCTTTTATCATTTTTGCAGCAGGATGTTTAGGGATCAATGTAACAATAGTCTCATTAAATCTTTTGTACAACACATTTTTCTCGAAGAATTCCTGGACAGCTTCAACAACATCTTGCTCTATGACATTCCAGCTAGCCTTAAAAAATTTTCCACCATACCCATCAATACCAGGGCTCTTTAAGTCCCCAATCCCTTTAATAGCAGTACGAATTTCAGCAACAGTCACAGGGGTAATAAGTTCAGCTTTCTGCATCATAGTTAACTGTGGCCCCTCCCTCATAGCATTGATATCAATCATACTCACCCTATGTTCTTGAATCCCATACAGTTTTGCATAAAAGTCACAAACCTCCTTTTCTATGTCAGGCATATTCTGAATATAAGTGCCATCCTCCTTTTGAAGTTGACTGAGGTGAGTAACTGCATGTCTAGAGTTGAGGTAGGCATAGAAGAAAGCTGAATTTGAATCACCTTCTCTAAGCCAATCCAATTTTGATCTCTGTCTTAGCATTTTAACATTTAGGTCCTGCAGGTAAATCACTTCATCAGTAAACTTTCTCACCTTATCTATGTTCCTTACATTCATTCTGTCCACCATTAACTCTTCCTGCGCTTTGAGTAGTTCAGTCCTGGCTTTAACAATGGACATATGAAGGTGAGAGAACTGCTTGCTCAATTTGATAAGAGGAGCCTGCAACCTCAGCAGCTTGTACCACAAACGAGCCATAGGTCTTCCCACACACACTTTATGCCAACTCTACTTTACAATGTCCTGATACCCAGCCACCTTTATCACACTATTAGTAAACTTGAAGTTGGTGTGTACAATCCTGTTTCTTTTTTAGTCAGACAAACAAAGTAAGCAGTGATCAGAAATACTAGGTGGGAGAATCTCTAGATTCATATCAGTGTTTCCCTGCAACCAGTCAATGTTACCAAGCACATGATCAATTTTTGAGTAAATAGTACCTACAGAGTGCTTATTTGTCCAGGTAAAATAATCACCTGTGCTATCCTTCTCAAAAAGCCCAGCATGATCCATCAAGTTTCTTAAATCAGCATATTCTCTCTCAGTCACCAAGTTTCCCCCAATCCTATCCATGGATTTTGTCACATTATTAAAATCCCCCATAAGGAACCAAGGCCCTTGTTGGTTGTTATGTATGTACACCAAATCATCCCATTATTTCCTTCTTTGGTCCAATTGATTCATAGCATAAATAGCTGTCATCCAGTTTTGGAAGTTACCATTGGCATCATATATTCCACAGTGTATCATCTGAGATGTGCAACTCACCAATCTGATGTCCTTATAACTGTCATCCCAAAAAATCCAAATCCTGCCATTGGAATGAGATTGATAGTTATCAATATATTTACCTCTGAGGTTAAGACAATCTCTAACTTTCTTTGCTTTATCACATTTAACTCTAGTTTCAAGTAGTATTGCAATGTTGGGATGAAGGTTTAGGAGACGGGAGCTAGTCTCCTTTAGCTTCCCCATTTTCTTCAGCCCCCTGACATTCCAAGAGACAATCATTGGCCAGTGTTTTGAGCCTCTAGGAGATCCTTCAAAATCTCTAGAGCCTCAAACCCATTATCATATGAAAGCACACCTGCAGCTCCAGCATTACCTTTATTTTTACCTCTATCTCTACCACTGTTAATAACCTCAGTCCATTTATCCATAACTGTTTCCACATCCTTATTTCTGATAGTCTCAGCAGCAGTAGAACTAGCATTACCCTTCCTGATCTGAACTATATCCATATTGACATTTCCTACTTCAATAGGCCTTTTATTATCATCCTCAGCCTTATTTGACATCACATTAGCTTCAGGTTGCTTCACATTCCTAGGTATCCATTGTTTCCTCATCTTAGGCTTATCACAACAGTGACCTACCTTTTGACATTTGTTGCAGAAAAGAGGTCTCCACTCATACTCAATTGATTGTTGCATCTTTTCTCCTGCAGGATCAGTAATGGTGATTGATTGAGGTAGCTCCTTTGTAATATCCATTTCAACAAGAATATGCGCATAGGATACTCGCAGTCTATTAGCAGTACATTCATCTGTCATAATAGGCTTACCCAGGGCACTCCCAATCTTATTCAGGCTTGTATCACCCCACAAAACGATAGGGAGTTGGGGAAGTTTTACCCAAATAGGTAGGGTTCGTAAGAGTTCATCCTTGATCTTGAAATCTGGCCTCCATTCACGAATCAACAAAGGAATGTTTCTTAACATGTACGGTCCTCTCAGCATAACTTCGTCTCGATCGGTGAAAGATTTGAACCGGAGAATGAAATACCCTTCATCATTGAAATACATGTCCGGCAGTTGAACAAAGTTCCAAGATCTGGTCATAAAATCCTTGACAGCATTCATACTCAAATCTGCTCCCATTGCATAAAGAATCAGAGAAGATTCCCAAAACTTGACTTCAGAACTGACATCATCTTCTTCAATTTGAACCTCGATTTTCCCTTCCACGACTTGAGGGGGTATGAACTTCATAGTACGACCTTTCGCCGGATTCCTATTGTCCTTTAACACATCAGCCCATAGCTTTCTTCCCTCTTCAGGAGTTGGAGGTGACTTAGGTTTTTCCAGTTCTATTTCGTTGCGCTTCTCCTCAAAACTTCCATCTTCACGAGCATTTGAGGTTTCTCCAAGGTAGTTGATTCCCGCAATTTCCGCTGTGCTGAGATTCTTGCTGACATTGTGGCTTCGCAAGTCCGATTGAGTTACCGGAGTAGAGACCACCGGAGATAATGGTGGTGGAGGCACTGATTTTTTTGGCGGCCGCCCTCGACCCATAAATAGTTCTTAAAATCTACTGTTGAAAAGAAAAGAGGTCTCCACTCATAAATGTCATTCTCACTTTTTAAGGCAGTAATAATTGCTATTTTTTTAAATTGTGTTATATAATTATTACTTTGTATATTTTTTTAATAAGACCTAATTTAATAAAAGTATAATATTTTATGATAATATTATTGTATTCCTTAATTTATGTACAAAAATTTTAAATGACATTCATTTTAAAACGGATGGAGTAATAATTTTCATATCTATAATTTAAAAAAATCTTATTATCCAATCTTATATCCGTATGAGTATCTATCTTTTTATTCATATTCATATCTGATGTATATCTAAATATTTGTATTCATACTCATAATTTTAATAAAAACAAATCTATTAATTGAAAATGATTATATTAATAATTTTTTAAAATCAAAATTAATAAAAAATTTCAAAAATTTTAGTGTTGGATTATGAAAAATTATATATTAATATATGGATTAGTCAGTTGTAATATTTTATTTAAAAAATAAATATATATATATATATATATATATATATATATATATATATATATATATATTATATAATAATATAAATTAAAAAATATAAATATAAATATAAGAAAAAAAAAACATAAACACATATTCGTGCATGTTCCGGTATATTTTATAAAATTTTTATTGGATACAACTATCTCCTACGGTATAACTAAGGAAGTTACAATGAAGATGTTTAACTTTTGAGTGTCAACAAAATTAATTAATAGTCACAACTTTATAAAAAAAGTTGGATATATTGTATCTTGTCTTCACAATTTCATTTTATCATATTTAATTAATTATTAAATTATATAATTTTTTTTCAAAAATTGTTAATTAATTTATTTTATATTAATATATAAAGATAAATAAAGGTTCAATTTTAATTTTTTTTTAATTTTTAATACAATTCAGTCTATTGATAAATACTTTTTTCCCTTTTAAGCAAGATGACAATCTTCTATCTACCGTAAATTCAAAAAGCTAAAATATGATTTTGCAGTAATAGTTATTTTCTGATTTTATCATCCTAAAATCTTTCACATGATTGAACAAGATATCAATCAATAAAATAAAATTAAAAAAAAAAATGAAAAATTCAAGTTATTTACTTTAAGGTGAAAATATCTTAACAAATTTAACTTTTCCCATATTTATATATCAATATTTCCCAAATTTCCAAAAATTCCCAAATTTGAATTTTGTTTTTATGTTATGGTTAGGTCCAAAGTTTGAATCTTTGAAAGGTGAAAGTGACACAATTGCATTTTTTCACGGGCCTAGTTGCTCCCTTCACTGCATTCATCATATATTCAAAAGACTATAATTTTTTCTGCGAAGATTTCTCTGTCAACTTGAGTTCAAAGTTTGAAACTTTTTAGGTTTCAATCATGCCTTCAGGTCCTAAGAAGAGAAAAGCTGCTAGGAGGAAGAAGGAACTTAACCTCTCATCAACCAATAACCCTCCTCAAGGTAGCTACATTATCTAATATATTCAATTTTTTTTCAGAATTTTGTTTAGGTTTAGATTCACGTTTGTATGAAAGTGATTACAGGTATCTAAAGTTGATTTTGACATGTTTTAATGTTAGTGGTTAGAGTAGTTTTTGATTTTAAATATAAAATTGATTCTCACATATTTGAATGTCAGCGAGTAGTGTTGGTGTCAGTTTTGGAGACCGATAGTGATACTAATACACTTTTTTTTTCTAGAGGTTTCAATGTTAGAGAGTGCACGAGTCCTTTTCAATTATATGTTGTATCAAATGTTTATCAAGTTTTTTTTAATTATATTTTTTTGGTATATTTGGTTAATTTTTGTACATGATCAATTTTGTTTTGGGTCTTAATTTGGGTATATATGTATATGTGTTAATAGTTTTTGCCTTGAATTACTTTGATTATTAGGGTATATGTTGATTTGGTTGGTTTTAGTTGATAATAGTTTGATTGATTCTATAAAAAAATGTTAGGAAATCATGATTTGAAGATTCGAAATGAGAAAACGGATGATGGCAGAGGCGATAATTTGCCTGCATATCACGAGAATAGTGACATTCGTGATCAATTTGATGATGGAAGTGAAATGGTTCATAAGAGAGACCCGTCAACTGCTCGACCAATTGCTTCTGATGTTGTGTCTGTGGAAGAAGTTTGTGGAAAGAAGGATATTGTTGTTATGATAAAGAAAGGTTTGAGACCTAAGGATGGTTATGAGAAAGAAAATGGAAGGTTGGAGCATATTGAAACTGCGAAGGAATTATGTTACGAGAGTGGTATTTCAAATGGTGAATCCCTAGCTGAAAAGAACTCAAAGGATGAGATTTATAATTTGCTTGAAGAGAAAACTGCATGTCATGAGTTGGTTAAACCGGATTTATCTTCAGCTTCCAACACGACTGCGGTTTCCATGTCTGGGATAGCAAAGTGCAATACTGGAGTATCCCCTCTTCTAGAAGTGATTGATCTTACTGGGAAGATGAATCAGGATAGCGTATATCCCTTAACAAATGCAAATGCTACAGCATTGAGTTTGGAGGATCCTAAGCCAAAGGAATTGAATAGTAAAGTGTTAACTTCATTGTCTCGTAGTCCATTGACTAATGGTGCAGTACATACTAAGAATTCCAAGACTCCAGAATGCTCAAAAAATCAGGTTTTGCCTTTTTCGGTTGTATGAATGTTTCATTACATAATTATGGATTGCCTTTTTGTTTGAAATTCATTTTGATTGTGTTTTTCTTTGCTGATATGATATCCAGACTTCCGTAAGGTTGGCTCCAAATTTAGTGCAGAAGACTTCATGGTGGAGTTGCTGTGGAATGTTTGAAGTTTTGTCAGGTTCAAATAGATAATTTCAGGTTTGTTAATTACTTCTTAGTCTATGTATTAATTCAATCAAATGATTTTGAAGTTGGAATATTCTTTCTGAAAATGCATATTTTGAGGATTTTTTTCGTGCGGTCTACCCCGGTATTATACATTTTGAAACTCTAAATCTATTTATGGTTGACAATATCTTTCTGCAGAAATACAAGTTTAGGATCTCAACTTGCATGTGTCAGAAGGGAAAATGGTGCCTCATGAGAAACTTTTCCCAATGCAAGTTTTTCGATAATGCTTCTATTGAAATCCTAAAATCTTGTTTGAGACATCCCAAAAGCTATAAAACAGACTAATTAGAAGGACTTTGTTAAAACATTATGATGTAAAGTGTCTAGGTTCAGAGTTTCCAAATGATCATATAAGGTTTGGTTACATTACTATAGGGAGGTTTATTGGATTTATTGTATTGGCAAAAGTTCACAGCTGAATCCTTGAGCATGTCAAAACTACATTGTTAGTTCTGTGATATAGAACTTTCGTCTAGAAGTTTCCATAATAAAATTTATTTTGATGTGTATCATATGAAATTATCAATATGCCCTTTGAATTGAAATAGTTGTATGGCCTAGAATAGTTGTCTGCAGTGTAGTCAAGATCGAGTGCTGGAACGTAAGATCTTAGATGTTAAGGATGCATGAGAGTGCTACGATCATAGAAAGGTCGTTTTCGTTGTTGGTCAGGTCAATTTTGAGTTTTTTGAAACAAGATTGTAAAATAAAACATGTTGGAACTTTTTTGTGTATTGCATTATAATTTTCGTGTTTTCGTGTATGTGTGTCACGTGTGTATATACATATAAAATTACCATTTTTCCTTCGGTAGGATCTTATGGGCTGTGCTAATGATCTGAGTTTTACGTTCTTTTACAAACCGAGCAATCTTACTTAAGATCTCGTGCTTGGCTACATTGGTGTGTTGATAAAAGTGATGAAGAAAGTTAGATATTCTTTATTGCTTTTGTAAGTTATACAAATCCCAAGTATTCAAATTACATAGGAAAAAAGTAAAGAAAAATAAAAAATAAAGTAATAAAAAAAACCTCAACTTTTTAAGTATATATATTATATGCAGCAGCACCATGAATAGCAATTATGTAGAGAAGTTGTGTAACTGAGAGGATAATTAGGAAAGCTTCCATGGTTCTCTGCAAAATTGCACACATCAGAATTCTTTTAAAGAGAAAAATCCAACAAAGAAAGTTTTCAAATAATTTTGTTTTCTCGGCTTACCAGACGCGCGTTTCTAATTTGAAGCTCAATCTCTTTCCATGCAAAGCTGCAGAAAATGAAACTCTTGTTACATCAGTATAATCATAGTGCACTAAAGGGAAGAACACAGATCATAGAGAGTAGATTACCCCATGGCAAGAAGTGTAAGAGTCCAAGCCATGGTAGCAACTGAAGCTGCGGATGGCAAACTGTTAGAAGTCCATGAACAGATATGATTGATTCCTGAAATTGCTGATACAACACCAACTACTCCGGCCAACAAAGAAAATGTAACAAAGAATCCAGTTGAGGCATTTCCCATTGGAAAGAAAACAGGCGAAAAATGAGCTGGAAGTTCGAATTCCGGACCTGCATAATTCTTAGCAACATAAGTATGACGACGAAAAAAAAACATAGACTGAGTGGTTGAGTCTCTTTTGTTTTTCTGACGTTCCAAAATATGTTTTCTTACCTATAATGAAACCATGATCTATTGCTCTATTCATAGCCCATGCACCAATGGCTAAAACTATGACATACATGCAAAAGTTCAGCACCAAGAGAAGTGTAGCTATTGACTTCATTTGTTCTTTAGCAAACTATGTTTTATGTGTTATTGGATGAAGGAAAATATCTAATCCATTGAATAGGAACTGCATGTTTTTATACAAGAGTTCTTATATGAGAAAATGTATTTTATTTAAAACTGGGGTTCTTTTCTTGACAAGGATACTTGTTGGATTAAAAGATCCATGCAGGGTTGTAAAGATGATGTTTTATACTTCACATACAAGGCAAGAGAAAATATTCTTGATTTTTTTTTATATTCAAGGATTGTTTAACTACAATACCTTCTCACTTGTTTATTCTACAAGAAAAGTAATATTCTTAGCCATTTGAGTTCAAAATATCATTGATCAATACCTTTTTAAAAAGTTTATTCTGTTATTTTGATCAAACAACTGATAAAGTAATGATGATGTATAAGCTTATATACTAGAATAGAATACTAGCATTTCTTAAGATTCTTTTGATCCTGACACCTTTGATCTTTCATATTCCAAGCCTTGCAAGACAATATTCCATTCTTTTTCATTTCATCATATTATTTCATCATTCATATATTTCTATATGTTGGTGTTTTATCAAGTTTAATAAATAACATATCATGTTTCTTTTATTGCGTACACCCTATATTTTTTTTTCTGCTTAAACATATGATTTGTCTATGTAACAAAACGAGTTTATCTTCTTTTTTTTTTAATTTTTTTTAAATTGTCATAAAAAATGTTAAGAAATTTTTGGTAGTTCCGTTGAAAAATGTTTAAATATTTAATGACGCGACACCAGTGATATAGCTAAACTAATCATTTTTAAATCCATGTCAGTATTATTTATTTATTTTTTTAGGATTTAAGATATTTCTTTGTAACTTTTCTGATATATTTTTTTTATAGATTTTCTCCTTTTTTTAATTGTTTGTTTTCTTTCCATCTGATCTATCCTCCTTACTAAAGAATCTATTGGTCTTCTTTCTACATGCTTAAACCACCTAAATTTATTTTTCACTATCTACCCCAACTCTCTCTCCCTCTCTCTCTCCCTCTCTAATATTTTTATTTCTAATTTTATCTCGTCGAGTCTTACCACACATCCACCGCAACACCCTCATTTATGTTACACTTTATTGTCATGTTGATTTTTAACTGTCCAACATCCTGTCTTGTACAAAATCGCAGGTCTTACCGTAGTCTGATAAAAAATTTCCTTCAACTTGAGCAATACTTTTGCATCACATAAAATAACTGATGCCCTTTTGGTTGGAACAAGAAACCACAAGTTTGGTGAAACAATGGTGGAGAAACTCTGGATGTGAAGAGTGAAAGAAGAGAATTGAGAGAGAGAGAGAGAGAGGTTATTATTGTATTAATCACAATATATCTCATCACAATCTCATACTCAAAATTATTAATCAATCACAACTCAACAATTATGCATATAACTCATTCTGCAATGCAACTTGACTATGCAACTCTATGCATATACATGTGGTACCAATTCAATATCCAGTTCTCTCTGGAACCGGGTCCCCTCTTCCGAACCCATGAGCCCTCTCTTTTGATCTCTAAGCTCTTTATTCTGAACTTGGGACTAGGGGTGGAAATAGGCTGGGCCGAGTTAGACTTTGTCAAGCCTGAGTCTGACCTGCTAAACAATTTAAAGCCTAAGCCTGACCTGTAGCCTATCATAAGCTTATTTTAGGCATAAGTCTGGCCTTTTTGAAGGTCTAATTGGCCTACTAGCCTATTTTAAAAGCTTACTTCATTTGAACGTTTGTAAATAAGAAATTCAACTAATGTTAAATAGACTAAGAAATTAAAAGATCATTAAGATAAAATGTTTGTTTTCATTGTCTCATTCAAGTTTACCTATTAGCATAAGTTTGGTGATACTATTTGTTGGAGAGAACTTATGGGAAAAAAAATTTATGACATTGTTTATAATGCTTTTTCAGCTTATTTTCGTAAGTTGTTCAAAATAACTAAGTTTTATTTTCGTATTTTAATTCAAAGTATAAAATACAATATAATAATAATAAATTTATTAATTTTTTTATAAATAGGCCGGCCTGATAGGCTTAAAAGGTTTTTCTTTGGCCTGTGGCCTAGCCTCTTTAGATAAATAGGCTCATGAAAAAGCCTAGGCCTTTTATATTTAAGAAAAAGTCTGGCCTGGGCTGGGCCTATGTAGACTAGGTCGTAGACCCCTTTTAGTTGGTCTGGCCTATTCCCACCCCTACTTGGGACTAGCCACTAATCCACTCTTCTGAACTAGCAGACATGCTTCTTGACACAACTCTTATGATGCATGATGATATCATCAAATCAATGCGTTAAGATGATTATTCTAATCCTAACGTAATGCATTCATAACTCTAGTAATACCCTCTCTGGATTCCATCACACCAAAATCATAAAATGTACATTACCAATCAACAGTGCAACAAAGCATGCTAATAATTTATCTCAACAAAATTATATTTTAAACAACACATCACTTTAATCAACCCATTTTGCAGACATAATGATCACAATAATTAATCATACAATGTTCCATAAACAACATCAAAACATACATATCATACAACTACATGGTTTCCCCTTCAAACTACCATCACCACAACAACAATTATGCATATTCACATACAAGTATTGCACAACTCAAATATTCATGAACCATATACAACCAAATATATGCATATATACAAAGCATCATCTTCGTTAATCATATAACATCATCAAATAACATTATCAATTTAATTATAACAATTAAATAATTTTTCAAAATCAATTATTAACACTTAATAACCTTATGTAATCACAATGAATTAATTTAAGTCACCAAAAACATGTCCAACAATATTCTACATGAATCGCTCGACAACACAACACATAAAACCCAACTCAACGGCTAAAAACACAACCACTAACATTACACATAAAATAGTATATTCACATCATTAAGTGCACATTCATCCCCTTAAGGCATCACCATGAGATAGTACTACACATTAGCTTTTCAACAGTTTGAACCACATCACAAACGGAGTCACGGATCTCAGGTTATGATATTTTTCCTTAGGCATAACAGAAGTCATGAGGGTTGACAGACGTCACCTAGAACTATGTTTTTTTCGACGGCTAGTTCGTCGCTAAATCCCAGAAACTGCGAATAAATATCCATTTTTTTGCGTTTTCCACCATAGAATCCTTATTGGACCTCCGATTTCGATTCCGTAAAAAGTCTCGATCTCAGAATTTCACATACAACAATTATCCAATGATTAAAACCATAAATTCACAATTTATCACAATTTAACACCAACAAAATCGTGTATTTTCATACTTTCATATTTATCGCAAAACTTCAAACCTTCGACAATGGTGGAAAATATTAACAATTTCAAAATACTAATCATATACTAATTTATACACAAAAATATACATCAATTTTCCCAAGCAACATCATAATGTTATAAGACTTAAAATTTCATGAGCAATTTAATTTCCTATTGGAGGTTAAGGACTCCTGTACCCTACCCTTCATGCATAAGTCCTGTTGAAAGTTATTCTCCCTCTTAGAATTGCAGCAAGCAAGCTCTTCTCCAATTATTTTCTTCTCATTTTCTAGCTCTAGGGTTCTCCTCTTGCCTCTATCTCAAGTTCTCTAAGTATTGAATAAAACCTAACTCTCTTTCACCTAAATATGCTTATAGTTTTCTACACAATCTCTTCTAATTACCTCATTGGCTCCCAACCTATTCTCCTAAATATGCTCATTGTCCATTATTTATTTACTAACTCCTGTTTTCGTTATTAATTAATCAATTAGATAATTTCTATCATAAAACTACAATTTTTTTTGTATTTAATTAGTATATTTTTATTATTTTATCTCTAATGACAAAATAATTAAATTCATGAAAAATGATACTACTAGTATTATTTCATTTAATAATCAAAACACTATTATTTTAATCATTTTAGCACTTCTACACTATCACCATACTACTCTATTCTTCCCAACCATATCACCACACCCCACACACATAAATCAATATTAAATTTAAATAAATTAAAATATGTAAAATCATCTAAACATGCTAAATCACTCAAATATGAAAATTAACTTAATTAAATGATTAAATGGAAAAATCGAGGTGTTACAAAACCCCTTTGCCTTGTTGACCTTCTGACATTTTCTTCATTTCGAGCTTCGGCGACAGGTTGTTCTCATCTTCCACTTTCTTTAGAATTGGAAATTTCAAAGCTGTATCTGGTTACAACTTTTTGGTAACCGGTTAACGCCTGCATGTAATCGGCTAACGTCTGCTGGTAACCGGTTACACCCTGTTGCACTTGCTTTAATTCATCGATTGCGATGTCCCTACTGATCATGATCCTCCTGTTTACAGCATCAAAGAGTTTCTAGCCACCAGTAGAGTGTTATCCAACAAGTATCATCACTTCTCCCTTGTCATTCAACTTCTTTCTAAGTTGACTCGAAACATGTCGGTATGCAACGAAACCAAAGACTCTCAAATGGTTCAGATTCGGTTTGAATCCCGACCATGCTTCCTCCGTGTTACATTCTCAAGCTTCTTTGTAGGCCGCCTATTCAACAAATAGGCAGTTGTGGATACCGTTTCTCCCTATAAATCTTTCGACAAGTTCTTCCACTTCTTATCATAAAAATTATACAAGAGTTTGTTGAAGCGGTAAAGTAGCAAGTAAAAATATTAAGTACCCAGTTTTGTCGTCTCCACAGGGATCAGTGCGAGAGAAAGAATGTCATTCAACAATCTCCACATCTCTAAGCTTGGGTTTGAATGGTTTGGGATAAAAATACAAAAGGAAAAATATAAAACAAGAAAATAAATACATTCTTAAGAAATGAGAAAACTCGTCAGCAGTTGTATTTTGTTCCACACATCATGTACTAAAAAATATATGGATCAAATGCACGCAACCTAAATTGCTCGTCAATATCATCACGTATCGCTCACATTAGAGGTTATGTCTAA